TATCAAACTTTCTTAGATTACTTTCAACCAACATTATAGTGTGTACATAAAGTCTTGATGTTATCAGTTTTTTATTGTATTGTCCAGCACAGTATAATTATGTACTTGACCATCCACGGTGCACTCAGATAAATGTTTATATTTTAAGAGAAAAATGAAGGTAAAGTATAGAATTTTTATTAAAAAGATCACGAAATATTCTACCGGACGTTTTGTTCTGATTATGTTATTCAGAAGATTAATGAAAACTCCACAATTAAACCATCCAGCTCAGAGGAAGAAATTCTATCCAAATATTATATCATGAGTATTTAATACATATTTCCCAGTCTTAAATAATGAAAGTTACATTCCTTTTTAATGTTAAAATTTTGTACCATGGATATTTGTATCCTATAATGAATATACAGATCAAATACATTGTTTAATCTTCATTCATTTATTGAATCTTGCAACACATTAATTATTTACGTCACGACATGGATTTATGTTACGATAAACATAGTGTAAAGTTATAAATGATATTTTCTTATCATGTAATCAATCTAAAAACATGATCTATTCTTTGTATATCAATTTTCTAAGTGTTTAAATTACGATCGAAAATGAGTTGTATAATACTTTGTAAAAAATGTGTTCGATTTTAAACCATTCTCACCATCAGAAGATTTTTGTTCTTATTTTCTTTGTAATTAAAATGGTCTACCACTCTTTTAACTGTGTAATACAATTACTTAAGATGTATCTGACTTTTTCTTTATTAGGCTATCTCAAATTGATTAAGGTTGACCAATTGTTTCCCCTGCTGTTTCTTAAATGTTTTCATATATTAATTTAAGAAAACTTTGTCTTGAAGATTCGTCAATATCGGAAAATTCTTAAATAATGCCTTAAATTTACAGATTTTTTATTAATAAACCGTGTTCATAATTTTACGGAAACATACCTTGCACTGGGTATTCACATTAACATTATACATTGCTATAGTTATAGATATTGCTACTAAACTATTAGAGACACATTTAACATAATTGATGACATATAATAACTTGTCATTACCACATAATCTGTAAGAAGCAACTTAATGTCCGATTATTTGATTTATCCTGCTGGTCACACTGTAAATTTGTTCGATAAAGATATATCAGTACTGACTTTGGGAGAATATCATATTGATTTTTCCTTAATAGCGACCAGTATAACTCATATTTTCAATAGGTGTCTTTATGTTGACATCGTTGATATGTATAAGTGGACCTAGGAGACAATATAGATATATTGGAAAAGGATGATATATCATACGAGATATACTACAAAGTAGCGAAGCTTCTTTATGCTGTTAAGCTTGATTCCTATTCCTAGAATATAACTAGAACATAATATTATAAAGTGACATTGTTAGGAAGATGCTAGGTTATCTAACTTCTGTAGATAAGAGTTTGTTCTTTCATGCATCGATACCTTGAAGCATACTTTTTTCTAGTTCCTACTTTCACATGAATTTTACCAGTTCCTTACTGATCATTAAAACTTTGCTAATCGTTTCATCTGCCCCAAGGTCATGTTTAGCTACGATGCCTATACATATATATACTTGTAGAAACAACAGAAGAGTTTGTCCAGAATTTATTTATTTATTGTAATGCTGATTATAATTTTCTATAACATAAGTGAATACCTTATAGATGGAACCGATAGATTTTTTCAATAACATTTTATTAAAGATTTATCAACCCTTTCTTGGGAATACATGCTGAAAATTGCTAACTTATTTTAAAAAAGTAAATAAAAGTCTATATATGCATAATGACCTATTGAAATGTGTTACAAATTGTGCCCTGTGTCCTTATTAATGTATAACGTAATGATATTGCCAATTACAGAACAATGAATTATCGATTGGACCAATGATGCATAAAACCTGTACGAGCAGTCTAGAGTCCTTATCGGTCCTGCTCACCACCTAGCCCTGCCTATCAAGTTCAGAACACCAATCTCAGCCTCTGCGGTGTTTCAAACATACCGGTTTATATCCAAACCAAATAGACCATACTGTACCATAAAATAGAAAATAACATTTGTACAAGATTTAACCGAAAATGGCTGTAAATGTAGGAGACTGTAATTAATAGACTGGGCAGAACTCAAGAACAGTAAATGGTATAGTAATAGTCTATTGATTACAATAAAGCTTATAATGATAGGAATATGAATATGCATACTTAAATTACTTAATATATGTTTCGTATTGGTTCATAAATGGATCCCAAAAGTTACCATTCATTATTCTCATCAGAAGTAATATGCTCACAATATGAATCAAACAAGAATGTCAAATTTTATCCTAAATGATTAATCTAGTTTTTGACAGATAATTCCCATTTAAACATTAAAATTAAAACACAAAGTTCAACGAATTTATTATCAAGCTAAACAATCGTATTGAGCATTTACTAAATCTATTGTTATCATTTGTATTACACAATTTAGTATTATAATCTTTCTATTACGTCATCTTGGTTAATTCTGTTCATATTTCTTCACGAAATTAGTACTTTTTTTCATATATATATATATATATATACGATTGTACAGCTTGATAATAAATTCGTTGAACAGAGATCCCTTTGCTGAACTTGGTGTTTTAATCTAGTTTTTATAATTTTAATGAGCTTGAAAACAAGTTATCATTTTATGAAAATGAACAATTAATGAAAATGGAAACGAAAAACCAGAACTATAGATTTTAATGTTATAAAGTTATTAAGGATATTATAAGTACTTATCTAATGAAATACATATGTATTGTAAAGCATTAAAGTTGAGTTATAATTATTTATATTTAAATAGAGCAAGAACAAACATTGATGCAGAATAGTATGAATTCATATTATTTCGAGGTTTCTCGTCAGCTGCTTACAAACCAAAATTGTGATAGAATTTTTACATGGAGATAGTGTGAAACAATTGACATAAATGAGTGTAAATAACTTGATTACAATAATAACTATATATATATATGCTAGAAGCAGGTCAGAGGTCAAAAGAGGGGGGCTAATCCAGGGTGGGTGGTGTAATAATTTAGTGAAGTTCATAAATTGTGTGATAACTGTAGAGATTAATGGAATTAAATAATGATAAGGTAGATTACGTAATAATAAGTAAATAGGGTTTGGAAAGTTAAGATGATTTAAGAGGATCAGGTGGTGAAAATGTGTGAATAAAATTTATTTTAAGAATTAGGTAGTAAGGGGGGAGTATAAAATATCTTAGAATAAGTAAATGAATAAAATAACCAAAACACAAAACAAACAGAAACAAAAAGATTGACCTCTGACCTGTTTCTAGCATATATATATATATATAGTTATTATTGTAATCAAGTTATTTACACTCATTTATGTCAATTGTTTCATGTAAAAATTCTATCACAATTTTGGTTTGTAAGCAGCTGACGAGAAACCTCGAAATAATATGAATTCATACTATTCTGCATCAATGTTTGTTCTTGCTCTATTTAAATTCATAAAGGGAACCAATTGCATGAAGTTATTTATATGATTGACAGTTTTCTTGAATGCTTATCTCTAAAATGTGTTCATGTGTTCATATTTTGTCACTTGGCATTGTTGAGTAACTGTGACAACAACAGAGATCTTAATAAAACATTAAAGAATAAACTCAAAGTGTTTACAAGATAAAATGAAATTCTATATTTGAAAACCTTATAGTCAGTGTAATTATATCATTTTGGAGAGGGATTTAATAAAAATATCTGAAAGAAGCTGTATACGTGAAAATTTCCCTAATATACTAAAATGCCGATCAAAGGACCAATGTCTTACAAATGTATAGATAATTATTCATCTTTGTTTTAATGTTTGTGTGATTTATTTCTTAACTTCAATTGATAAACAACTTTCTAGGGAGATATATCGAATTCTATAGTAATGTATCTATAAAGAATATGTTATCATGCTTACTTTTGAAATGGTTACATAACATTGAAATAATAGCTCAGGAAAATTATACTGATTTTTCCTTATAGTTCAAGTTAACAACCAATTCACGGAATCAAGCGACTATCTACCATTATCTAAGGTAATACCTTGCTGTACTGACAGTGATTAGCTTCAATGGATACGGTTTCTCACTAGAACTCCGAAAATTACCTCACGAAGCTAGTCACTAATGAGCGATGGAAGATGGTTGTGCAATTTCGTGGATTAACTGAAGTTATTCATTAACACCTTTGAATACCGGCTCAGTAGTCTAGATGTTAGGCGTTCGCGTGCGTGACCGAAGGTCCTGGGTTCGAATCCCACGTGTGAGATTGTGGATGCTCACTGCTGATGATTCCCAAGCTAGGACGAAACAACCGTCCCGTGGCTTCAGGTTTTCAATGGTGATCTAACATTAATCAATTCATGATATCAATCAAAAACTCAACAATCTTCACAATCCCATATTGATCATAATATAAAATCTAACATTTAACCCCTAGCGTGAAAATATTCTTGTAAATTTATACACAAAAACTGTTAATCAGTTAGAAAGAACAAATATTTATAACATAATGTCAAAATATAAAACTAAATCTCTTTTGTTAATTCACATTAATCATATCAATCAGTCGAATGTCACATAAGTAGATTATACTAATGAATAATACTTTTACAGGTAGAATACAAGTTTATAATGAAATATAGATGAAATCTATACGAAATAAAAGTAATCTAATTTATGTACTATATTGAATGAAATTTCATTGCATAAATCATACCGTTTTCAGACTTTTTATTTCACTTTGTTGTTATTTAATTAAAAATTATTTCGGATAATCTATTGTCCATTGAACATTGATTTTTTTAAAAAAAACAAACAATATTTTATACAAACAATCTAATTGGTTAATTATAATCAACCAATTAAAATGCATTAAACCCAAAAACAAATTTCTTTATCCGATAATCGTTTGTTTTAACATGACATCCATTTCATTTTATTATTACAATTATACACGTCAAGAATTCCATAATGAATTCATCTATTTCAATTTGGAATATTAACAAACATGATACTACTAATAAATTTCATTTAAGTAGTTTAATGGACGAATAAAAAAACATTTTCTTGTTTAGAAAAAAAACAAAGTATTAAAATGTTACATATTGGAAGTAAATCATTTGAAAATTCTCAAGAGAATTCACTAGAAAAATATCATTTATTAACATCATTATCATTACCAAATTTAAATATAAAATATTTTTTATACAAATCAGAGTATTCTACTGAAATGAATTCAGTAAATCATATTAAAATTAAAACATATAATGAAATATTCAGAAACACATTTCAATGTTCAATTAAAAGAAAAAATCAATATTTATCAAAATCATATACATCATTATTATCTAATAAATTTGATGATAATAATAATAGTACTACTAATAATGATAATAATAATAGTAGTATAGAAAATATTTCCTTATCATATAAACATAAAAAATTTAGTCAAAGTGATTGTTTATTATTATTTACACCGTATAATTTTAAATCAGAATGTGTAATTAGTTTATCTGAGGAAAAAAGTCAATTATCATTTAATGAAAATGAATTAATAAATCAAAATAATTATATGAATGAACCTACAGATCAATCTCCTTTGGTAAGATAATTCATTGAATTAATTTAAACTATTATTGTTTTTTTTTGAAATCATAATAATGATTACGATAAATTATTTCTAGTTGATTTAATCCACTGTCAAACTTAAAACTCATTATATATATTTTAAACTGTTATGAAACTTTGGAAATGATCATTTAAAAGAAGGTCAAATTTATATTATTTATTTATTTAAACACATAAACATAGATAAAATAAGGCACCAAATAGATATAAGCCATATAAATCATTCGATTTGTCTGAGGATTAGGATACTGCCTGGGTGCCTAAACGGAAGCAAGTGGTTTTCAAAAGGGGGTCACACCCCGATTCTTTGACCTAAAGGTCTGATCCATAAGGCGATGGGGCAACGTCAGGAGATGCTGTCCCATGTTAGCCGGTGACCAACGATTGGTTCATACGCCATTTGTTCCTTTAGAATACTGGAGCCTATGTGCACCATTGGTTTGGAATCAGGGTTTTCCGATTCCCCTAAGTGAATCCTCCATATCCACCAACCATTCACTTTTCGTTCTCTCGATTTCGTAAACAACGGTAATGTCACGAGAAGGCAGTGACTAGGATGTTCCTGGCAATGGTTGTATGCACGTGTCCAGGTGGCAGCGTTTTGAGGGGAATAGCGGACTCTCACCACCCTCGGCCCTAACAAGGCATTTGTCTACTATTCTTTCATACTGTAAGTAAAGATCGATAGTGCCTAGCAATAGAATCCATGACACATTTCGTCCCACTTGGAACTCGTCGTCTGGATGTACCTGTATCTCAGAGTTGATTTTCACTCTGGGACTCGAACCCATTACCGTTCGCTTCAAACACCATCGCGTTATCCGCTTAGCTATAGAGTTCTAATAGCCTCAATAATGAATTATTTTTCTGTTTCATTACTAATTTAAAGTCAAAAATAGATTGTATGGGTAATATCCATGGTAATATTCTATTATCACAAACTAAATGCATTACTCGTGTTTCATATGATAAATGTTAAGGAATCTCTTGTTCATCTCGAATTGGTGTGTACCAGAGAAATGTTAGAAAAATACTCTTTAAGTTAGGTTAGAAATATTCGGAAGTGGTTAATTATGATCAAATATCAGGAATAGATTCAGAGTGTTTAATTTCTGCAGACTATAAGTTTAGATTATTTGGTTAGAATCCAGTGCTCCATATTTTTAACTTTAATAACTAAATAATGTTGTATGATCGTGGCTCAGCAAGAGAGGCGGATTAATATCTCTCTCTTTTCTGGATCATTTTTGCTAGATGTTGTACTTATTTATTTTGAATCAGTGGTTGTTGAAATGACTCTCACAATAATGACTTGTCATCTCTCAATTTTACTTTTAGAATCAATGGCCCTTAAATATAATTTAAGTAAATTACCTAATATAGTAAATTTTAGGGAATAACTTTCGAAAAAAATACCTCGTTTCAAACTTAGTCTTAAACAGTATGTATCAACCTTTACTTTGCACATTTTGACTAAATCTTATGAAACTCAGATTGCACATTGGATATGTTAAGATGACATCGTTAAGAATGCTGAGAAAATTAAAACTGATCTAATTTGTATCCTAAAGATTATTCTACAGAGGTATTCGCTTACCAAATATCGAATATACGCCAGTTTCGTGAAACTCTCAGTATATATAGTTCGGTAAAGTTTGGTACAACTGTGATAAACTATCTCCAAATTTCTGAACAGGCTAGTCACATAGCTTATTCAGTACAACATAATCATAAAGCCAAATAACGAATTAAGGAAAATTTAACATCAGGTAGACGAACAGAATGTTTGTGTTAAATCAACTTCAACACTGAACTCCGATTATCCGATTCTCGACAAAAATACTGACACATTGATCTTTAATACATTAAATAGTACAATGAGTTTTCAAAGAAGTCTAACACAACAGAAGTCACAAAGAAGTAAGTTTCTTCTAAAGTTCATCGTCATTTGTAAACTGACGTGCAATATAAAACTGAATAAATCTCTGAAAGACGTACTTTAACCGTTGAACTTCCGGGAAATTTTTGAAAAGCTAATAACAAACTTGTTAGTAGAAAACCAGGACAAAATTATGTTAATTATGTTTCCTAAAACGGCTGAAGAAATGAATATTCAGAACAGTACATATGATTGTGAAAGCTGCAATATAGTGTGAAAATTATTCTCACCAGAAAAATAACTGAAAAAATGAATCCTAAATATGCATGTCAGATTGAGTTATAAATAGTGTAACGTTGTGGTGAACGAAGACTTAGCGGGGATAGAGTAGAGCCCATTGATAAAATGTGAAAACCATACATTATATACTTTATTTACACATCAGTTGTCCTTTACATCCTTAATGATTCTTCCTATTTCCGGTTCCTTTATGTTTCTCTCTCTTTCTTATTCAGTTCAATCTTTTCAACCTTCTTTTGATAGGCATTCAACTTCTGATTGGTTTACATACTACTTATGTCGATAGACATAAGTAGCATACACCACAACGTCATACTCACAAATTTTCATCTTAAATATTTACAATATCAACAACCTTGTTATAAATTTGAATGTGTGTGCAATTTCAGAAGATCATATATGTGTTGATCTTAGCTTAAACTAATAGAATTGACAACAAGATCAATAAATCATGACGCTTTCGAATTAAACCTATGGTAATTCAGGCTGTTTATATTGTTCCCTTTGTTTGTCAATGTAAGAACATTTTATACTATTTAAACTATGTCAATAAGTTGATGATACCTCAGGTAATATGGCATAAAGTCGGTTACATTGTCGATAACTTATTCTCTGTTCAGTAAATTTATGTTGACTTATTTCATCTTATTCAATCATATTTTCCATTATCAATTTGTCTTATTATAATTGATACTATTATTATTTGAACTTGTTTCCTATTCACTTCATCATGATGATACTGTACATGGCAACTAGAGCGGATCAACACTTTACCTAAATCTTTAATTATTCATTGACTTTCTAATTGAAATATTCACTTATATCATTTGTATGACAATACAATCTTAACTATAATTTTCTGATATTTTCATAGAAATTACTGTAAACTTAATCGGTTTACTAATAGTAACTATTGAATGTAATGAATTCAAAATGGTTAAGATCATGAGTCAATTGAAGCTAGACCACCATGGAAAACCTGGAAGCATTGGACGGCTGTTTCTTCCTCATGATCTCAACCATTGAAATTACTATATTATCCACACAACCCTACTGATATGAATTCAAAATGGTTCAATCATTTCATTTCAGTACGGAAATCTAAAGATTTTGATTGATCAATTTTTATGTCTCATATGCTAAATCAATCATAAGCCAAGCGATAAGGTAAGTGAATGCAAACACATATTCAACTATTTAAAATTTCGTTAGCGTGAATAAAAATACAATAAAAGAAAAATACATTCACAATTAGGTTGAATAACCTACATCCGTAATGAAGCATATAAGATAGACAAGTTTGAATAACTTTTGATTTCCACATCAGAACACACACACATATATATACATATATTTGTGTGTTAATGTGATGGAGAGATTTTTCTTCTTTGGCAATTTTCGTATTGTCAAATAGAAAATTTATTCAAGTGAATAACCTATTTAAATTTAGAAACAAAAATATACATTAGCTACTAATATACAAGTAATGGAACTTATTTTAAAGAATAGTAATGAATAGTAAACTAGAATAACTGTCCAATAACATGATCTAAATATCATTTCGTTGAATTAATCATGATTAATTAGAAGAAAGATAGTTTAATGTTTCTATTCTGCTTAGGTCAAATCAAAATGATATTAGATTAATGACCATGAATGGTATTGTGAGGCATTATTGGAAACTGGACAAATTATACGGTTTAGAACTATACAAGTGAAAATAGTATGAAACGACTACACTTACAATTAATATACATGTAGGTTAAGAAAACACTTTGTCTACAAAATGATCATCGATTGATTTCACACTTCATCCTTATACAACAAAAATATTGTATTTAATTATTATTTCCACTGTACACTTAGTTAGGAAGACATTTTTAATGACCTTTTTATTTGCTAATGGTTGCATTTAGATATTTTCATCTAATAATAGGTGTTCCTGTCATTTAAGTAATGTGGTTAGATTTAAGAAGCAAAAAAACTCATTTTATGATCGACTATAACAATGATATAGACGTATTGAAACTTGGTAATGACTTGTATTCACACCAATACGAACTCACAGTATTTAGTAAGGTACTCAGGCAAAACAAACGAGCACAAAGTATACAGTCCATAAATATTAAAAACGTAACTAAAAAAACGTTCGGTATGTTGTCAAAGTGTTTCCCATACAAGATTCTTTAATATGTTAGTGGTTTTTAATTTTATTATCTTCTGTTAAACGATCTGTAATTAATATTAGTGTAAGTAATATCCAAAAGACCAAACATTTACATGAACGATACGTGTTAAAATGTTATTGAAGTCAAGTTATTGAAAGTAAATCAATCCCATTAGTTTTATCATAGAACGTTATCAATACAACTGCGTTACAAATCAACTTAGGTACTTGTTAATATGCTATGTTCGGGATGGATGAGAATTATAAATGAAACCGTTCAATTATGAAAATGAAGACATTTTTGTTCCGATAAAATACTAAAAAGAATAATAATTAGAAAAGTGCAATGATCATGTTTTGCTTCTTGAAAATATAAACGATACCAAGTTTCTGATATTTCAGAGAACTATGTTATTAAGTCTTTCAGTTTAAAATATTACAAATTAAATTGTTCACTTTATTTCACAGAGTATTTATCACTAACAGAAATCAACTAAGAAACTGTTATAGCCCAAAGCCGTCAATCAGAAGCAGAGCATTATTGATCGGACCAAGGACGCGTAAAACACGTGCGAGTAGCCTAGAGTCCTGATTGGTTCTGCTTTCCACCTAGCCCAGTCAGTTAAGTCCAGAACACCAGTATCAGCCTCTGAGAGATGAATCATTTATTTCAAACATACTCTGTTTATATACCGATCAAACAAAACACATCGTACCATAAAATAGGAAACAACATTTGTACAAGATTTGGCCAAATTCGGCTGTGAATGTGATAGTTAGTGATTAATAGACAGGGAATAAATGAAGAATGGAAAATCGTATAATAATAGTTCATAGGTCCAAATAAAGCTCATAATAAGATGGACATGAATATGAACAGTTTAGTTACTTAACAATTATACGACAAGAATATACGCACAGTATTGGTCCATAATAGATCCCCAAAGTTACCATTCATTATTCTTGTCGGGATCAAAAAAATATTAACTTGTGCCTCCTAGCCAACACAGATACAAGACAACACCAGATATCAAACCAAACGCTTTTGACCTCCTTTGTCAACTCGATAAATCCATACATAAATAGAGACTAGAATACAACATCCATTCTATGCCCTATGATTTTCAGTGATTTTCCAAACGCTATCAATTGCTGACGAAAACTATCTTCAAATTGAGAAAAAAATACTTTACAACTTCTTTAATTAACCATTTCGATTTAGCATCAAGTATAACGGTTAAAGTCCTCAAAAAATGGTTACTGACATAATATGCTAAGCGATCACAGATAAACTTGTTATATTTCACATCGAAACAGATACAAAACTTAGAATTCATTGATAATTATTTTCGTTTAGCCTGTTTTAACTTCAGGGATCTAGAGGTTAAGCGTTTGCGCGTGAAACTGATAGGACCTGAGTTCGAATCTCGTGGGACGGCATCGTAGATGAGAAGTTCCATACTAGGATGAAACGACCGTCTTGTGCTTCCAGGTTTTCTATGATAGTCTAGCTTCAATTGACTCATGAATTCAACTATAAAACTACTAAAATCTCAACAAAACCCATTTTAATAATAAATTGTTGTGCATTGTGAATTGAGAAACACAAATCATAATGCTACAGTGCCTTGATTAACACAATTTCAAGCGTTATTGTTTTCTTTTTTAGTGAGTTGATTTGTCAATTTACTTTTTATAAGTAGGGAATTCATAATGGATCATAGCTATTCAATTTAAAATGACTTTTAATAGTCTAATATAAACAGACATTCAAGTGATGATTGAATAGAGTAAAACTTTTGAAATTGCATCATCAATAGTTGTTTATTTAATGTTATGTGAACTGGATTTCTGATATACTCGGATTTTATTGACTACTTATTCATCGGTAGTAATAACATTTCACGGTAGACATTGAAATTAATGTTATGTCGGTAGATTGCATGAGGTTGCATAATCTTATCTGATCATTAAAATATCATTCATAACAATTCGGGTAGAAATGTTTACGTAACAGAACCCATATTGTACCGTAATTCATATTAGTAAAAACAAATGGTAATAATTAATGTAAATGGCCTTTTTTATGATTTTTAAAGAGGGAATTACATCTTTTACGATTTTAAAAGCAAAACGTTCGAAGCGCGATAAATATATTTTTCATTGGTTAGACTATAATTTGTGGACAAACCAATCAGATTTAAAATAACAGATCTTGGATTTTGGCGTGAAATCCACACATTTGGTCGACTAACATTTTGGCATTTTAACTTATGTCAGTTCGTGATGAAAAAACATAAATCTAATTTTTAACACAAACCATGAACTGTGAATCATAATCCTTGCTATTCAAACTGATTTATAACTTTCATTCAGCCTTAGTAATTAGGTAAGTACTCTGAAGGTCGCTCAAAGGAACCTGGAACCTATCATGATGATTTAATTCTTACTACTTTATACTAAATATTTAAACATATTGTAGAAGTGAACAGAGTTCGATGGAGATTGCTGGTGTGCGGCTTATGATTTTCTACGAAGGGTAACGGACGTAAATAAGGAAGTAAGTAAGAAGTA